CTGATTGAGGAGGAGCAGAGGGCAAGGTCCTTGGACCCTGGTCCGCGAAGATCATCGTCCACGCCACCGCTGGAGGGTCCAAGGGGAGAGCCTGCTTCTCTGCGCCCACTGCGACCTCTTGAGGATAGCCGGGAAGCGGCACATCGGGGGGAGAGCTCTTTGAGATCAGTGAGACCCTCGGTGCCTCAACATCCTCCCCAAGGTGCGGGTGATGACGGTGGAGTCCATGGGGGCTTGGCTGCTCTGCATGATGCTGTGCAGCGTACCTACCAGGCCCTGCAACAGGCATTGACGGGTCCTCTTCAAGGACATGGCCAACTACATCAAGTACCAGGACATACCAGGACAAGGGCAAGGCCTACTTGGTCCTCTATCTCTTGGAGCTGGACCGGGATGACCGAGGGTTTTTGGGTGCGCCTTGGCCTCGTGAGGGAGTGCCTGAATCACGAAATTCGATGGTGCCCCGTGCACTGGACTACACAGGTGGAGCTGCGACTACACCAGATCGACAACAACCGGCTCCAATGAATCCCTTTTGGAGTCCTGCCGGGCAGGATGGTGGGAAGCCAATGGCGAACGGAGGTGGCTCTCTATCAGGATGGACAGGGGGCTGGGACAATGAGTGCTGGTCGTCAAGGTGAACTACAGCGACTGTCGGGGGCTACAGGACCTCCGTTGGGAGAAAGGGGAACACTCTCGCCTGCAGTGGATGAAGTTGAAGCGTTGCGTATGCGCATCCTCAAGGAAGCGGAGATGAACTTTGAGAAGGAGCTCAAGCGACTGGGAACCAGGCGGGAGACCGGGGACACCAACTCGTACAAGACGGCTTCGAGTGGGACCCAAGGACTACCTGAAGGTGAACCTCCTCTACATGGTCTTCCTCAACGGCCCCCTGCATGGACTATCACATCACTCGGGGAGTGGAGGGAATCCGATGTCTCCTATCAAAATTGGAGAAGGTGTTTCGGTGGCATCGACAACGGAAGCCTTGAGAAACCTGGAGTTGCCTACATTGCCACCTCCCAAGGAGTTGAAGGATTGGACACCATATGAGGTGAACTCACTTGAGAGGACAACCCGAGCTGTGCGACCTGTTCAGGTTCAGGATTTGAAGAATGAGCCCGGCTACAGCGAGATGCTCGTGGTCCCCTCGAAGCTTGTGCCTACGGTGAAGGCTCCTGACGGAAAAAAGCGATCTCGAATCGAGAACCTTGTTGAAGACACCTCGGCACAGTCCCGGACACAGGGTACTGATCTGGATGCTGGCAGGGGTGATGGAGGCTCGAAGCAAGCGGGGAGATCCTTTGAGCTGTATGCCAGCGGAATAGATGGCAGCTCGCTGAGATGTGCTCTTCGGAAGGCTGCTCAGGAACAGTGGGCAATTGGCATTGCCGATGTCTCTTCGGCGTTTCTCCTGGCACCCAGGAAGTCATCACGCCTCATGGCCACCAAACCGCCATCTATCTTGGTCGATGCGGGCATCATGTCCAAGGACACTCGATGGGTGGTGGAGGCGGCGGTTTATGGGCTGGACAACTCGCCTCCTGATTGGCAAGCCTATCGTGATGATGTTCTTCGGGGCATGAGGTGGTGGGAGGATGGAATTCACTACTGGATCAACGCAACTCCGGAGCCCAATCTGGAGGCTTATGTCAGCTGCGCACAGGGAGAATGACTATGTTAATGTGATGGAGGAGGGCCGGACAGTGGGCTTTGCTCTATCCTATGTGGATGACTTCATTGTCATGGGCCAGAGGCCAGTGGCAGGTGCCTTCCTTAGCAAATTGGCCTCGACCTGGAAGTGTGCGCCGCCTACGTGGGTGGTTGATACTGAGTGGAGAAAGTTTTGCGGAGTCGAAATGAAGTGGGAGGGCAAAACCTTGTTGGTTGGTCAGCCTGACTATGCCAGGGAGATCGTGAGCCGACACAAGGACCTCGCCCTCTGAAGTCCTCTCCGCTTCCCAAGGTCGTCGACCTCGAAATGGAGGAGGTGATCTGCTCCGAGCATGTGAAGCAGTGTCAAACAGTGATAGGTGAGTTGTTGTGGTTGGCAACGAGAACCAGACCGGGCCTCAGCTTTGCCGTATCCTTTTTGGGGGCCAAGGTGACGAAGGCGCTAAAGGGTGTTTTGGAGCTGTCGCGACATGTTTTGGGCTACTTGGCCGCAACTGTGGATCTTGCTCTTGAGTATGGGCCATGTTCAACCGTGGCTGATCAGTACGGCCGGGCACCAAGCCTGGGGAGACTCGACATCCTGACGGACTCGTCATTTGCGCCGGCTGGTGGAAAGGGGCATCAAGGCCTCATGGCGATGTGAGGAGGATCTTTGTGCTGATCTGCTGACGAAGTCGATCGCCCAGCAGTCCTCGTGGGAATCCTTTCGCCGAGCAGTGGGTCTCCGGGTGGCGATGGGTGGAGCTTGTGCGCCGGTGACCTCGCCTGTCAAGAAGATCGCCTACGCAGTGATGGCCTCGTTAGGACTTCTTGCTGTAGCTCCGGGAGTAGGTTGTACAGCCAAGGTAGCCTCGTTGGTAGGTCTCGTAGTGCTGGCAGCTTCCACTGCCTGTGGATCTTTTGGGACGGCAGAGAACCAGTTCATAAGGACCTAAGGAGGTCTAACGGAGCTGAAGAGTTGAAGAAAGACGGTCGAGGCGAGGGAAAATGAACCCGGCCCACAGAGGTATGTCCAGGAAGAAAGGTTGGACATCAGGCAGGCAGGTTCGTCGGTCGATCGCGGCACCCATCCGGCGGTGCCTCATGTGCCATGGAGCGGAAGTGGGGCGCGCTTGTGCGCGCTGAGGACGCCAATTGCTCACCGTGGACTGGAATCTGAGTCTCCATGGGAGTTGGGGCGCTTTTCTAGCCCACCGACGGGCGCCGATCGCTGGGAATGCCTCGGCTCAGGCACGGAGGCTGGCGAATGGTGGGTGAGAGTTTTGAAAAAGAAAAGGGTGAGGGCATTTCATCCTTTGCACCGTGGCACACCGTTCATGATCTCGAGAATGTCAACAACGAGGGTGTCAGTCATCTTCAGCAGGGAGAGCACTCGCCAGCCGTGGAGCCGAAGGGTTGTGACGGACGACTGGACAGCCTCCCGCAATTGTGATGTTGAAAATGTGTGTGAATGGGTTGGATACAGTTTTTTCTATGTGCGCTTCATCTCGCAGTCCACCAATGATGATGAACAAGGATTGCAGGAAGAGGCAGCGCAGCGACCTGTGGCTCCAAGTCTTCCTGGGCGAGACGACACGGTCGAGCGGGCTATGTTAGCTCCGCTCCCCTTCAATCCAGGGCTTTGGAGCGTGGAGCTGTGGCTGCTGGAAGGCATGATGATGCTGGCATTCCGCCGGGTTTGACTGACCCTGTGGAAATCAGTGCACGAGACACTGTGGAGTATGAGGGTGGGAGCGGCTATGCGGCTCGCTTGGATGGCTGCATCCGAAGAGGGGAAATGCTTACTTGGCCTGGAACAGGGCCTTAGCCTCTGAGAATCTCCTACCACCAGAAGCTGATTCTTTACCTTTGCGGATGGGAAGTGAGACGGCAGCTGGACGACGTGAGCCGCCTGATGTGAGTGATTCGGACTCCCATTCAATTGGGAGCTTCAATGTTGTTTCCCACGGTAGACGAAAAAACCTACCGGTGAACCTCCCGTTTTGGATGCTGGCACTGCCAGCAGGGGGAGTGTGGGACTTTGGATTTCGCATTCAAGTCACCATGGAGGGTGTCGCAATGGAGAAATCGTGCGAGGGTTGCACGGTTGCTTTTTCATTTGGTCGCTCACAGATTCAATTCAATCCCCGAAACCATCACAAACATGGCCGAAGCCTTCGAGTATAGCCGGCCGCTATTTGTTGTAAGGGTCATGAGGGATTGGTCGATGGGCTCAGTCGACCTGCCATTGCCAGGCCAGCTGGAGATCAGCAACCATCCACTTCGTTGGAGATGGCGCTCACATACTCGCCTAGGTTCGCAGCCTGAGTTGGGCATTTGAGTTGGGCATTGAGCTGCCAAACTAAACAAATGGAATTGCAAAGTAATTGGTTCTACCTAGCAACAGCTCAATGTGTCAGTGTTGATGGGCCCAACTTCTGATAGAATGATTGAGCTGACATCACAGGCATTGCCTTCAATGAGTCCAAAATAGACATCAAAGGGAACGAAGGGTCAAACTGGTACATTTTCTTGTTCCAACAAAGGCCCTAGACACGAGCTCGACTTGTTGAGAATGCAACCGCAGGGCATTCCTATAGGTCAAATTGTTTTTATAGGAAACTTCCGCCGCCGGCTTGCCCGGGAACTGCTTGTAGATAGATGTAGATGCTCATTAGATACTTGCAAGACCACGGCCATAGCAAGACTGCTTGACATTGCTTGAATCCCTCGGGCAAACACTTTTTCCAAGTTCTAGTTCGCAGAAACTCCGAAGTGGCTCTAGCTCTGGTGGCTCTTGGTGGCTCTAGCTCTGCAAGGCCCTTTAAGCAAAATAGCTGCCATCTTGTAGCGCTTTTCCACTGGTGAAATGTGCTTCAGGCTGACCATGGACTCGACCTCCTGAACCATCGTCTCCGCAGTGAGATGCCGTAGTTGGTCCTGCGCAGGAGTTGTTTTGTGAGGAAGCTGACTAATTTTCAACATGAATTCCGGCCTTCACAAATTCAATATCTTTCTTGGATTGCGGAGCTTTCTCACCCTAGCGAACAACAAAGGATTCAACGTTTGATTGATTGATACACTGATACACTCATCACTGGTGTGAATGCGCCTTTCTCATGAGCTCTTGCAGACAATGTCGGTGGTGTGTCTGAATCCTTTGCCTGACCCCGCAATCAGCAGTCAACATTTGTTTGCATTTGTTTTGGTACGCCTCGTTCCAAGAGCGATGATCAGTTGACACAGGACTTCCCTTACAGTGTCCCGGTGAAATACAGTTTGTCAACAAAGGCTTGGAGTACAGAATCCATACAAAGGCATGGGTAGCTTCCTCGTCCTGCGTTGATTGGGAGGCTTCTGGACAAAAGTGTCTTGGCCAATAATCCTGGCACATGGAAAAGAATAAGATGGCCATGGGCCATGCCAGGAAAAAAAGATCTTCTCCTCATCATATGGAGATCGTCAGACCAACCTTCAGGCGACTGGAGAAGCAGACTCATATGACAGGATCTTTGTGTTTCTCTCCATCCTGAATAGCCTGAGCATCGCGTGGCCATACCAGCCCAAATGGAGGGAGGCCTTAAAAATAACAGAATGGCGTGCGCTGCAGTCGCGCTCTTGGGTGGGTGCTTTTCACCCATGTCCATTCGAGCAAGAGTGCCTCCGCTTCGGATGGGGATAGATCCTGAGGTTCAGGATGGGCTCTGTGTTCACGAGCAGCATAAGCTCGTAGATAAGGCTGGGTATGCCGTGTGAGTTGTGAGTAGGGCATTGATAGTGGCATTACTAGTATGGTATGTGACATCATATGTATGTGACTTTGGAACAACACTGCGGTGAGGTGATGTTTCAGCTCTATGAGCTGCAGGCGAGCACGCTCGAGTGCGTTTGTGTTTCAGGATGCCGCGGTTGTTTTTCGATGTGTTCCCGAGAGCGCCTGAGCGAAGAGTTCTTCGTAAAAATACGTCAGAATAGACACCAGATAACAAAGCATGTTTGTGGTGCTGTCCAGCACCATGGCAGCGGCACCCTGCAGCAACACAAGCCGCACGCAGACTCCAAAACTCACACTGCCATAAGCATCTGACAGCGAACCCGGTATTTTGGCTAGCTCGGTGGTCATCACCCCAGGTGTGCTGAAAACCTAGGAGCCCGATCGATTACAGCAGATATATGGAGTGATGTTCAATCTGCATGGATTTCTTTCCACTTGAAAGGCACAGATACAAGCAGCGCAGAGCTGGGCTAGATTAGTGCTCCACAGCCGTCACCTGCAACAAAGTCTGCACCATGGAGACCCCAGCATGCATGTGCGTGCAAACGTTCATTGTTGATCTAGCCGCTCTAGCCTTCGAACATCTTTGAACCGTTGGTTTCCTGAAGTCCATGGTCCTGGCTGGTCTTCTCGCCCAAGGACTTGGATCAGTAAGACATACCCTGAGCATCGGATATTGATCCTAATCAATAAACCGAAAAAATATCAATATTTTTGATTTGCCAAAAAAATTGAAAATCATATTGATTTTGATATTGATTCCGGTATTGATTTCTTGGCAGCTTCGAAAAAGCAAATTTGATCAAATTTGATCAAATTTGGCTGGTTTTTGATCAAATTTGATCAAATTTGGCTGGTTTTTGATCAAATTTGATCAAATTTGATCAAGCTGACCATGTTGCTGTTTATTGAATTTCCTATTGATTTTTGCTTGGCTTTGAGGAAGAATTTCTATTGAAAAAGCACGCGCCCAAATCAATAGAAATTGTTGATTTTTTCAAGAATATTGATTAGGATCAATATCTGATGCCCAGGGTAATGAGATCAACGCATGATGGATGCTGTCCTCCACCCAAAGCACACAGCCGGTAAAAGGGGAAAAGTGCGAAAGTGGATGAGAATGGCTGAGGTTGGGCTGGCAAACAGACAGGGCACATAATTCCTCAAAGCGATCGAAATATAGTAGATTTATGTGTTTTGGTTACTGGATAGTAAAAGTATGAATTGCCGGTGTGAACCTCAAGCTATCTTTTTTTCAAGCGCTGGAAGCTAGAGGTTCACATCCACACATATTCACACACGCACATCTTCACACCTGCAGATATCCAGAATCCAGACATGCACATTTTCACATCTGCATATCCCTCTCCTTTTCTCTCTCTCTCTCTTTCTCTCTCTCTCTCTCTCTCTCTCTCTCTCTCTCTCCCTCTCTCTCTCTTTCTCCTTCTCTTTTCGTAAGTATTATCTTTCTCTCTCCATGCGGTTTGGCGCGGCCTCGGCCTCAGTGGAAGTGCATTTTGTCAGCATGTCTGTGCCATTGGGGGACGGAAAACATGCTGGTGCAAACGTGGCGTGTCGCTGGGGAGCGGGATGATTGGCGGTACCCAGGAGGCTTGTTTTACATGCTTGCATCGTTTCTCTGGCACACCACCTGAATCCACAGATATATTGCAAAAGCTTGGCATAAACCTGCGTCAGTATCGACTGTCAGACCCATTCGGGGCAGGACCTGAACCCACACATTCGTATATTGCGAAACTGCGAGTAAACTTGCGTAGCAATCGATTGTAAGACTTTGGGGGCAGTGCCTAACATCCCGTAAAGCTGCCCCTCTAAACTTGTTTTTTCATCCCATCCTTTGCTGACACTCTCTTTTGCCTTCTCTTTCACTCTCCCACCTCTCTCTGCTCTACAGCTTCATCATCACGCAAGCATGCCTTACGCCGCTCTCGGGCCATCCGTCGTTTAGTTGTTTGGCAGAAGCGTTTGTGACAATGCATGCCACAAAACAAAGCTATACTTTCAGTCGGCTTCGCACTAAGTGCTTCAGGACAGGGCGATCACCGCAGAACGTCGCGATGCCCAGATCAAACTAGACTTGTTTTGCACTATGCAACTTGAAATCAAGAGTGGTTGCGCTATGCAGTGGTGCTCAGGCAGAGCTGCAAACCTTGAAGCAGCACTAAAAAAGGCATGTGGGCTGGTGTTGATTTCCCACCGTGCAAATGTCAGTCAGACTTTAGTACCATGTGGCGTTCAGCAATGCACCAAACCCATCTCTTGGAAGGTGAGAAGGCAGCTGCGCCTTCGAAAGGAGTGGGCAATAAGCATTCCGAGTTTGTCACTGGCTGCATCCATGTTTCAATCGGCCATGCCCCAAACCAGGATCAAGCTACCCATGAGCATGCCCCCCTAGAGGAGAACAGATTGAAGCGCTCGGAGTTTTCCGACTGCTTCAATTTCCCCCTTGGAATTGGGGCCCCATGAGTCGGAGGCTGTGATGGTCGGTGTTCGGCGCGAAGTGGCTGGGATTTGGGTGCAGATGGGCTGGCTGGTTGAGACAGCTGTGGAAGACCCTGTGCTGTGACCTGCACAGTGCTGCGGGTCTCTTCGCGGCCTCATGGGTGTTGACTCATTGCAGTGCTTTCCCCGCCAAGTCAAGTCCAGTTACGTGGCGGCATCAATTTTCTGCGTGCCAGGAGCGGACGGAATGTCGGCAAAGCTCCCAGCAAGAGCAGAAGGAGATGCGCAGCTCGCGTGCATCAGATGTTTTTCACGGTTTTGGCTTTGTTTTTCCATAGCGCAGGCACTCCACGGTATGGTATATGTATCCTATATATGCGTAATTACGCTGATCCAACCCTCCCCACTGAACGGCAACTGTATGGCAATCCCATTGGTCTTGTTTGGGCCTTGGGATGCTTTGGAATGGGGCACATATACTGCTTCAATTTTCCCCTTGGAATGGGGACCCCATGAGTCGGAGGCTGTGATGGTCAAAATCCACCGAAACAACTAGCCAAGGCAGACGTGAGGGTTCAGTATGCGCCTTGTTGGGGTGCAACCTGAGACACTTTATGTGATGCATGAGAGGATTGCGTGTCAGACCATAGCGCATTGATACAGAGGACGAGCAGAACAGGGGACAGCGCTTGCCAGGAGTTCTGGCAGTGGCGGGGCCAGCGTTCTCGCGCCTCCTGGAACGCAGCAATTGCAGCGGCAGAGGCTCGACAGGCCGGGCTTACCGTAAGGGCGCGCAGCGTGGGCTTGCACGGTGCCCTTCTCGCGTGTAAATGTCCCTCGCCCTACCCTAGACGCTACATTGACGAGGGTGGCAACAGCGCGAGTCCCAGCGAGGTAAAATGCTGACGGCCCCAAGAACGCAAGAAGATGCGAGATATACGGTGCACGCGGTATTCTATAGAAGTCATCAATCAATGAATGCCTTCGAAAGTGCCATTTGATGCAATTTTCATGCATAGTTAGGCAAAGCATGGCAAAGCACATTCTCCAGAAAAGCTAAAAAGAGACCTGTCACAAGGTGCCTTGATGGAGCTAGAGGCTCCGTCTTCAGGGAAACAATCACATAGATACGGAAACAACATTGGGAAAGACACAGGGTATAGCAGGGTACTTGCAGTTGCGGGCATCCTCATCATGACCCCCTTCACCTGCATGACGCAGCCCTTGTCATGAAGATGTTTCCTTATGCCGCATGCCCTCAATGTTCCTTAAATCGCCTTCTTGACCACGGTATGATGTCTTTCTGATTGGGCTCTGAGTTACGATGCTATTCAGCGGTTTTGTTGGAATGTGGGACAGCTCTGCCTGAAAGCCTGCGTAGATTCAGACAGTATTTTGATAGTCCAAGAGGCAGCTAGGATGGTGTTTGGGGTTCACTAGGGACTGTATCTGGGGCAGAGATAATACCAAGAATCAAGATCAGTGCTTCTCGGCGTGCTCGGCAAGCTTCCCAGGAGTGTTCTTGAGCTCAATATACTATACTTATTCGGACGAGCCTTTCGGGGGGTCACGGCGCACTGAACTTCTCATGCTCCACGCTGGGTCAGCTCCGCAATATTCGCGTTGCGGATCCAGCTGCGGTGCTTCTGGCATGCAGAATTGACAGTGTGTTATTTGCATACCCCTTAATCGAGACCCACATGTTTGCCGCTGGTTGATGGGTTTGTTCATGTTGTACGAAGGGCAAGTGATGCATAATGCACTGTTTTCGTTGGTCCTTGCAGACCACGCACTAGCGAAGGTCCATTCAGCCTTTTCCATCCCCCTTTTTGGTTTTTCATGGTGTGGGACATTGCGGGATCATTTGATACTCGAGCATGTCCTTTGAGCCCTGGCTCTCTGACAATGTAGCATTATCGTCATCCTCATGTTCTTCCTGTGGATTTTATTCTGGTCCTCCCCGTGATATCACCACCATGGTCATTACCACTTACAGTGCATGATGACGCTGCCATCGTGACGGCCAGGGAGCAAGGCTGGCGAAGCTGGCGGAAGGCTGGTCCAGTGGCATCTCTCAATTATGTAGATAGACGATGTACGTAATTAGTATACGGCATGTGGTAGAATCGGTCATAAAATCATAAATATCATGGCCCTTGATGGCAGCAGCTTCCGTTGAAGCTTCTGTGTTGCACACATCAAACCTCATAATTTTGGAGCTAAAATGTCGGAAAGTGCAACAATGTCAGGTGGCTGTGTGAGGATGCAGGATAAGAATTCATGCTTTGAAGCACCTGCTGGAAGTGAAGAAAGGAATGGCAACACCCCCAGCCAGCTTATCACACCTATCCATTCCTTCTCTCTAAGTCCATATTAAAGGCTGCTACGTTTTTCTTTGTTGACTCTTTGCGCAAAGAACCCAACTGCCAACTGGTTGCTGTGATCCATGTGATCATGGATCGCGTTGCACGCCGTTCACGCCTGTCATGCCACAAGTCTACGTCTGTGTGTGGTGCGACTGTGGATGGCTGGGATGGATCTGCATGGTTGGGGACGAGGACTCTTCACAAACCGCGTCTCTGGTCTGTGTACGAACTTGACCACGTGTACGAACTTGCCAATAATGTTCTTCCAGTGGAGTCAGCAGTAGCTGTGCAGATCCGTGGGGGAGCCGACTGGCGAATCGCTGGGATAAAAGCACTGGCGGCTCTGTGACGAAAGCATGCTGTGGTTGCAGATGGTGGTACCAGTCAACCTTGATGAATGAATGCACTAGATGCACCTGCTATTGCCTCAAAGTAGATTTCATTGTAATCGATCCTCTTTTGATGTTCTTCGCTCCCCATCATGTATCCTTTCTATCTCATCTCCCTTCTTGATCTATCATCTCATGTTTGTTGTTCGTGCAGATGGTTCATCAAAGCTGTTGCACACCATGTCCCAGTCCAAGACCGTTCGCACCTTGGTAGTTGTCAAACTGCAGGCCAAAGACGAGGCGACGTGCTCACAGCAAAACAAAGAACACATGAACATGTTAGCATCCATTCATGTTCTGTAGTAACCAATACTTTCCGAAACCTAGGGCCTAGATTTTTTGCACTTGGGCTGGTGAGCCACATCATCTCTCAAATAGGCCTTTCCCCCAAGCTTGAATCCCCCAAAAAAGCTTTTTGCGCTTGACTCCAGGCTATCTCCGCAACTCCAATAGACTGCGCAGAATGGCGTGCGCTGCAGTCGCGCTCTTAGCTAGGTCCTTTTTATTCATGTCCATTCGAACAAGAGTGTTACATATTCCGCAGTCAAACTGAGGACATGTCACTGTCGAGCTACGAGCAGCACAAGCTCGTGGACAAGGCTGGGTACGCCGTGTGAGTTGTGAGTAGGGCATTGGTAGTAGCAACAAGCATTACTAGTATGGTATGTGACATCATTTGTATGTGACTTTGGAACAGCACTGTGGTGAGGTGATGATCAAATTGTACGAGCTCCAGGCGAGCACGCTCGAGTGCGTTTGTGTTTCAGGATGCCGCTTGCCAGGAGTTCTGGCAGTGGTGGGGCCAGTGTTCTCGCGCCTCCTGGCACGCAGCAATTGCAGCGGCAGAGGCTCGACACCCCGGGCTTTCGGTAAGGGCGCGCAGTGCGGGCTCGCACGGCGCCCGTCTCGCGTGAAACCGTCAGCAACAATACGCTTGGCAGCCTGGAAGGATCAACATACCCATACAAAGCCTAACAGAGTACGTAGTCCACTATTCCAAGCACTTAGGTAGCTTAATCCTGAACTTTTCGAGAAAGGACACGTTCAAGCTTAGGGAGGGCAGAGTGCTAAATCATAGATGCATACGGTCGTGGAGAATCCCGGACCCGTGGTTGTGAGGCCACAAGTTCCCGCGAAAGGCGCGACGCAAAACCCAAGCCGAGTGTGACAGACTTGTAGATCGCACTGGCCAAGCCATAGTGGACGACTGGATAGTTTGTCCCACTTGTAAATCCTTTTCCAATAGTCCCACTAGACTACTTATGCCTGGGACCATTGGATATGGATTTCAGGACCCCCGGACTTCAAGCAGACCAGTGACCAATTGTTCTACTTCAGCTGGCTCCCTCCACTAGAGTCGTGGCTGGGGGGATGGCCCAATGGCCTGCCGTTTTTCATTGACTGCGTAACTGTGTGAAACAATCGTTTGGGTGCCTCCTGGGTCCCTCCTGGGTGCCCTCTTCGGACGAAGACGACTTCCATCAGCTTCCCAAAGCGCCCAGCCAGCGATGTTTTTTCAGCCTAGCGATAGTGGAGCTCGGTGCGATGCGCTGCGCGTCAGGAGACCCCGCCCATGATCATGGCCTCTGCGGCAGCAGAGGCCAACCGCGAGCACTCAAACCGGTCTTCTTCCACAAGGCTTGCGTTTTTGTTAAAGTCACACTTTGGCTTGGATGCTGTCTGTTCCATGTTTCGTTGGTTGCTTTGGTGAGATGGTAGGGCTGTTGGGATGGTGCTTGGTTTCTCATTTGAACATGTATGTGGGCTGGTGCGGGTGGTGCGGGTTTGGTCATGTTCACTTTGTCACACTGTTCGGAAGATGTCGGGATTTCAATTTTGGTTGGACGAAGGCTTGATCAGCCAAAGGGTTGGGCGTTTGGAAGCTTCCTGCGCTCAAAGGCCAATCCATAGGGCCGTAGGGCAGTTGACTTGACGAGGAAGTTGGAGATGTCTTGTGATTTGGTTTATTGGATCTACGTAGGACAGTTGACTAGGCCGGGCTTCCTTTCCAGGTTAGTTTTTGCATTCCTGCTTCGCTTGGACTCGACTCGCACAACATGGTCCGTGTCAGATTCGACCTCGCGTTGCGCTATTAAAGTTCCCCGCGCGACGGAGCGTCTGTCTCTCTGCCTGTCTGTCCTGTCTGTCCCTGTCTGTCCCTGTCCTGTCCTGTCCTGTCCTGTCCTGTCCTGTCCTGTCCTGTCTGTCTCTCTGTCTGTCTCTCTGTCTGTCTCTCTGTCTGTCTCTCTCTCTCTGTCTGTCTGTCTGTCTGTCTGTCTGTCTGTCTGTCTGTCTGTCT